GTCAAAATTGTTGTTGTTTAACGGCGAGAAAATCGAGTTCGATACTCACTTTTTGGTAGATTTTGTTATGCATTTTCTCTTTCGCTTCTGTGCAGATTTGCTTGAAATCATCTTCGAGTTTTTTTATCACGGTTTTGTCTAATGTTGACATTATTGGTATTTCTATATCCAATCTGTTTAGAATCGGTAGCGGTAGATTTAACGGACCTCGAGCGGCCATTGTTTTCATCTCGATGAACTTCCTAGAAGAATTTACAAGGTTATCTTTCAGAGATTGAAACGCACTTTTAGCTTGGCCTGATATATTTTTGTTGATTTCGTTAAGAGTTTTATCGATAATTTTATCTTGTTCTAATATCTTCACACGTCTTTTGAGTGTGTCTTGCCAAGATTGTGTTTGTTCGTTTATGTACCACATGCACTTGATTCGTAATGCCGATTTAATTTCTGACCATGATTGTATCTGTTCAGTACTCCATATTCCACCTTTGTCGTCTCTCCATGCATCGTAATTGGCGTCAATATGGTCGGCTTCTTTTCTTATCAATTTATGGTAATAAACCAGTTGCTTTTTGATGTATTTGATATGTACTGCCGTATATGCGAGAAGTCGTGCCTGTTCTTTTTAAAGCGTCACCTGCCTGAAGCGTCACACGTGGAGTGCCTGAAGCTTCATCTTATATGCGAGAAGTCGTGCCTGTAATGCTTAAAGCGTGACCTGGAATGCTTGAAGCGTCACCTGATATGCAAGAAGTCTTGGCCGGCTTGCTAAATAGCGTCATCTGGAATGTTTGACGCGCCAGGTTCTATGCTACAGACGTTATCTGCAATCCTAAAATCCTCGTCTGAAGGGCTAGATGCATCACCTGGCGCTGGGGAAGCAGCAGGCTACAGTTGTGGAGGCATTATCTGAATTGCTAGATCCGTTAACTTCATTGCTAGAAGCATCAACTTAAATGCAACAAGCGTTGTCTAGGATGCTAGTAGTACCACGGTCAAATGTTGGAAATAGAAATATGAACATATACTCATTTGAATTGTCATTTGGGCATTTGTGAAATGAATAACTTTTTAGAGTTTCTTCAGTTTCAATAACTTTCGCAGCGTTCTTGGAGTGATGGTTGAGACAGTGTAGAGTATATCTAAGGGTAGCCTTGATAACCATGTAGCGACTATGTAGTCCTGACGTGATGGACTACAGAAACAGTCATCCCTTTTCAAGCACAGGGTGTCGAGAAAGTAACTCCCTATTTTAAATTCTTTACTAGTTTGAAATAGCAAAAGATGTGAAGAGCATTTCTTCACGGTTTTAAAGCATGTGTTTTAAGTTTTTATTCTGGATGAAACAAGCTGTTTGCTCGTTTGATCGTTTAACATCAAGGACGAAGTTTTTCGAGAAATTGCTCGAAAAAGCTCATTATTTTGATTTGTTGAAGTAATCAACAAATAGCTATAAAGTGGTTAGATCTATCAAATAAAGAGTGTTTGTCAAATATCGCGGCGCAACCGCAACGAGTCAACACACAAGAACTTCATTGATGTCGTTGACCTTTAACTCCCTCCTCACATCGTCACATCATTACATCGTTACGTCGTTACATCGTCACATCATTACATCGTTACGTCGTTGCATCGTTACATCGCCACATCGTTACATCGTCACATCATTACATCGTTACGTCGTTACGTCGTTACATCGTTACGTCGCGGGTGACGATGCAACGAAACAACGACGTAACGACGTAACGATGTAATGATGTGACGATGTAACGACGTAACGACGTAACGATGTAATGATGTGACGATGTAACGGTGTGGCGATGTAACGATGCAACGACGTAACGATGTGGCGATGTAACGATGTGACGACGTAACGATGTAATGATGTGGCGATGTGACGACGGAGGGGTCAAAGATCAACGACATCAATGAAGTTTTTGTGTGTTGACTCGTTGCGGTTGCGCCACGATATTTGGCAACCACTGCAAATAAAACCAAAATTGATTATGGAACTTATATTCATTTTGATAGAATATGTGTGTATATGATCGTGGATCGTAATCCATTTGTAACATCACCTGCAAGTGAACGATTTCATTAACATATTGGAGTTCATCTGATGTTCATCAACAAACTATTCAATTAAGATCTTTTGATAATCAACAAGAGATGATCAATGTGATCGATATTTTTCGATAGTTTTATGAAATTACTCAAAAATCAACTTGGGTTGGTTTAAATCAATGGGATTCACAAAGTTTAATTTTTTAAAGAAAAATTTCGGCTTTTCAAAATATCCAATGGAAGAATTACGAACAAGTATTTACTGAAACATCGATGGAACAATTAGGTGAACAATGTTTAAAACCAGAAATAATTCAACTAATACCTATGTATGGTATTGCCCAAAGGCTGCAAACATTATTCGAACTATATCGTACTCGATAGGACAGACTAATCATCATGTATCAACAGATATTCATGAAGAAGTTTTAAAATGATTAAAGATTATGGAAGAACAAAATAACGTTTAGCACAATTGTTAGATGATGAACAACAAAAAGAATTACATTTAAGACTTTTGTTAGTCCCACTGGGCCTTAGTTACAGGCAAAATATGAGGTCAACAGCTTTTAATCAGTTGGTAGAGTTTCTTCGTAAATAATGATTGTTTTCAGTACATTTTTTCTGTCGATTGCGACCTCGCACTATTCAATATAGTTGATGTACTACAGAACATTCCATGTGGACAAGAGCTGCGATCAGTTTAAGCAGTTGATATGGTTTATTATATTATCCGAATTAAATCCATATAGCTGTTCTATCATGCAATTTTCTAGTATTTTGTGTCCTTTATGGCGGACATAAGATATGATAAAGGAGAAAAAAAAGGGTAAAAACGTCGGACAGAACGGCCTATTTCGAGGCCTGCTGCAGAGGTACACATCTTTATGTGGTACAATTAGAAGCATCATCGCAAACTCAAACATATCCCAAATACCCGGTATCTGAATGAAAATCTCCGCTGACGATAACACCTACCAAAAGATCGGTAAATGATAAGGTACAATATTCATAATCGAGAAACTGACGATCGTATTAGACAAGATAACGGAACAAAATTGGTAGCCATTGTTCGTTTCACTCATACAAAGAATATAAATATACGAGAGAGAATCAGACTTTTTTTGTGGAAGAATTACTCATATTTTGTAGCTGAAACATTTAGCGATGACCCAATTATGAAGAGATTAGTGGGGGAATGTAGTTATGCAATTTATATTGACTTGGAAGGTATCCTTTTTTAGTTATGCAGGGTGGTCCAAAAGTTACCCACTAGTCAGTTTTTAACTGCGAATAACTTTTGAGACAAACGAGATAGAAAGCTGTGGTTTTCACCATTGAAGCAGGAGATGAAGACGCATCAAATTGTCTGTTATAGCTTTTCTTGACGTGAATTTTTCGAGGACTTCAATCGACCTTTCCGAACATCAATGTACTCCGCGAGGTGACCACTGTGAGTTTTCACTAATCAGGTATACATTCGAATCGTTAATGAAAGTGCTAAAAAACTACACAACACACAGACTTCTAGATTAAATCATTCAGGATTTATACGTATTGTAGTATTCTCAATTAAAGATTGACTGGTGAATGACTTTTGGACAACCCTGTATAATTAAATAGAGATATGAGGTACTTTTTTGAAGAGATCTCTAATACAGATTTGACAATGATAATATGTGACATCTTCGAATATTACTAAATTGATTCGAACAAAACAAATCCTTCGAAGTGCATTTGATTTCGATTGTGTTTCCTTCTTCTTCTTAAAATAATCTTGTTTTCTCTTTTCAACTCATGATTTAGCTGAAAAGATTGGTTGAGAAGGAACACAGGGATATATTTAAATACTTTTTTTTATCAGAGAAAGAATCAATATTCTATGCGATCGTTACAAGTTTCATTTCAATCTGATCGAATTTCTTCAGTTGACCAATTGATATATAAAGTAGCTCTTATGTGTATATTTGTTATGAAGTATGTAATTAAAACTATTAGAGAATAGAGAATATTCGACTGGCTAGCTGCTTTATTTCTATCATTGTTTGTCACAATAGTAGAGCATGCTGAAAGAATTTACAATTTGTTATTGTACCATGTGTAATGACTAATAACACATTTTACTCACAACAGAGCACATGTGCATTCATTTTTTCTGTTTACTTTGAACAGGTAATGCAAATGTGTTGAATAAGTTCGTTACTTCCTCTGAAGAAAGTTATAGATAAGTACAACGATGTCATCTCAACCACCAAGTTATTCTAAAATCTTGGTCTCTAATCCTCCACCATATGATGATGTCATTCAAAATAGGCCATTTTCTCCACCTCCACCGTATGTTGATCCAACTGGTCCTTTCATGCCAAGTCGTCCTCGTCAAACGCAAACCCGACCTACAACAGTAAAAGTACATCACGTTAAACATTGCATTGGAAATTGATGTGTATATGCTTGGATTGTATTTCTGATTTTGCTTAGTCTGCTGCATTTCGTCTTATTCGCAATGACTTCCCTAGCTGACATAGGTGCGTTCTTCTTCGTTCATATTTTTTTTCTCGCAGGCACAATTATCTTTTGTGGGCATAAATGTGGTCGGAGAGACGGATTTACCTTGAAGAATATTCTTTGGATGACCATCTTCAATTTGACGATTCCTACCGGTCATGTATTTCTTATATATCAGACAATCAAAGATTTGACAGAATTGAACAAAGCGATTCAAAATCCATCGTCTATGATTGGTAGTAATACATACTCTTTATCATTTTATCAGCTTATCTTTGCGATAGTGGTCTGCGATTACATTGGCGTGATACTTTGTCTAATTACGATCATTACATACGGTGCGTGTCGCAAGAAGAGTCGTTCTTAACGTCATTGCAATGAAACTTTCACTGAATGTTGACCACGTAACACAACAATTCAACCGAAAGTACAAGTTTAATTTGCTTCAACTACTAGTATTCGATTCAACTTTGTACTTAATCACGAAATAAAAATTCTTATTCGTTCTTTCTACCTCATTCAATCATAACAGCATTTGAAACGATGCGAAAAGATTGAATTCAGTCTAAGTTAAATCCAATGTACAGATTATCTCTTTTTGTTCACATTGAAGAGTGATTGAAGGTTAGAATGGAGGAATAATTTAAACAACTAGGGATGGCACTTTCACTTTCTTTTTGCTTTCATAAAAATGACTGAGTAGGAATATTTTCTTTTGTTTTGTTTGGCTTCTGTCTTTGTAGGCACACACTCTTGCAGATATCAACATTGAGGAGATAGAAGATCAGATGAAAATGTGCTACCGTTCGTGATAATGTGGTAGGTTCCCATCGAGCTCTTCTACTAATAAACGAGTTGTTGTACTTTTATCTACCTGTATCATTATCATATTCCTTTAAATAGATGTTTTATTTAGTTAAAATATCCATAAAAGAAATAAAAAAAACGTAGGAACATGATGTATGTTCACTTAATATTATTTTTTACTCTTGTGGTACCTATTAATGCACAAACAGCAAGTTTTCCTGATTGTAAATCAGGTCCACTTTCAACATTTCCTATATGTAATCAATCCCTACCCTCTCGTCAACGAGCTGCTGATCTGATTAGTCGTATGACAACAGCTGAAAAGATCACCCAAATGGTAAATTCAGCGGTTGCTATACCTCGGCTTGGTTTACCTAAATTTCAGTGGTGGTCAGAAGCTTTACACGGTTTAGCTGGTTCACCAGGCGTTTCATTTGGTGGTGATTTACCTTCAGCCACGAGTTTTCCGATGCCTATCAATCTTGGTGCAACATTTAATATGAGCCTTGTTCATCATATGGGTGATGTTATTTCAACTGAAGCACGTGCATTTAATAACGAAGGTCGCGCTGGTTTAGTTTTCTTTACACCAAATATAAATATCTTTCGTGATCCACGTTGGGGTCGTGGTCAAGAAACTCCAGGTGAAGATCCATTTCTAACATCAGAATATGTTTATGCATTAATCAATGGTTTACAACGTGGTGATGATGAACGTTATTTAAAAATAGCTGCAGATTGTAAACATTATGCTGCTTATGATTTAGAACATTGGAATGGTACAGATCGTACTCAATTTAATGCCATTGTTAGTAATCAAGATCTTATTGAAACATATTTACCACCATTTGAAAGTTGTATACGCGATGCAAGAGTTGCAAGTATTATGTGTAGTTATAATGCTGTTAATGGTATTCCATCGTGTGCAAATCAATTTTTACTGCAAACACTTGCACGAGAATCATATCATCTTGATGGTTTTGTTGTTAGTGATTGTGATGCTGTTGGAACTATTATGGGTGGTCATCATTATACAAATACAGTACAAGATACAGTTGCTGTGGCATTACATGCTGGAACAGATCTCGATTGTGGAAGTTTTTATGGTCAACATACTCAAACAGCATTAGATAATAAAACAATTGTTGAAGCTGATATTGATCGCGCACTTACACGAACATTTAATGTTCTTGTTCGTCTTGGTTATTTTGATCCACCGGAACAACAACCTTATCGAAAGTTATCTAAGATAGACGTTGATACAAATGAATCAAGACAATTAGCATTAGAAGCAGCACAACAAAGTATTGTTTTATTAAAAAATGTTAAGAAAGCATTACCATTAAATATTAATCAATTGGAAAATAAAAAAATTGCTTTAATTGGACCAACAGCAAATGCAACTGAGTTAATGCAAGGGAATTATCATGGACATGCACCATTTCTAATTGATCCACTAACAGCATTTCGAAATGTAACACAAGGTCACTCAATTAATGTAACATTTGCTTATGGTTGTAAAGTAAATGATAGTGATGAAAGTGGTTTTGCAGCTGCTATTGAATTAGCTCAATCATCTGATTTAGTTATTTTCTTTGGTGGAATTAATCAAACTATTGAACGTGAAGGTCATGATCGAACATCGATTGGATTATCTGATACGCAATTATCTTTAATCAAACAACTAGAAAAAGTTGTTCGTTCACCTCTTCATGTTGTTATTATGTCTGGTAGTGGTCTTGATCTATCGTATGTACGAGATTCCGATCAATCGGGAAGCCTTATTTGGATGGGTTATGCTGGACAATCAGGTGGTCTTGCTTTAGCGAATGTTATGTTTGGTCAATATAATCCTGGGGACGTTTACCAATTACGTTCTATCCTGAATCATATATTAATAATCTTAGCATGTTTGATATGCAAATGCGATCATCACCAACAAATCCTGGTCGAACATATAAATTTTATACTGGACAACCAGTTTTTCCATTTGGTTATGGTCTTTCATATACAACATTTAATTATTCATGGGAGGAGAATCATTCAACGAATGAGATACTTTCAATTGGATCATTAATCAAAAATAAAAATAACGATGAAGGAAAGATCCGTGTGCACTTATATCGTGTTAATGTAACAAATATAGGAGAAATGTTTGGTGATGATGTTGTTCTTGCATATGTTACACCACCAACAATATCATTCAATGATCCAACACCACCTATTAAACGATTATTTGGTTTCCAACGTGTTCGTTTAGATGTAAATCAAACAATTCAAGTGTTTTTTCCATTGAACATTCAATCATTATTAACAATAACACATGATGGATCAAAATGGTTAGAACCAGGTGCATTTACAATTCTTATTGGACAAAAACATATGCATACACTGCATTTACGAGGAAAACCAACGAGATGGTCTTAAAGTTTGTTTTTAGAAGATAACAATTCCTTTTTGTAATCATAAATTCATCAAATCAAATAAATTTTAAGTCTTAAAACTTCTCGGATTTGAATTGAGACCATAGTTCCCTGGATTTGCGAGTGCGATGAAGCGATATGAACTAGTCATACTACTTAATTCGAATCCTATTTCAATTAATAAAATTGAGCTATGATAGAAGTGAAATTCAAAACTTGGACTTTTTGACAAAAATATTTCTCTTTGGTATAATTCCCAAAACAGCGCGTACAGCTTTTATGTGGTATGATTATCAATTTATCGTCGAAGTCGTTATATAAAGGCTTTGAATAATCTGTTCTGTCGAGTTTTCGTCATAGATCATTTTGGTAAAAGATATCTTTCCGTTTTCGTCAATAAATAGTCGTACTAAAGTTAAAATACTGTTGAACATCTGATTACTCGAAGGATTCGGATTAATTAGCCATTCTTTAGTATTTTGACCATACCATCGAATTTGTTGACGAAGATAGAAAACGTTTTTGCCAAATTGAGCGGCGGGAAAAGCCGTAGAGACTTCTGTGTTTTTCTGATCGAGCACCCAAGAAACGTATCACTGATCTTAACAAGCATCACATCACTAAGTAGTACATTAAATGGAATAAATTAGTTCGATCCGTTAATTGACTTTGATGGTCAGTTATGCTTTGATTTGCTTGATTAACAATCCATGTCATTGGACTTTCATCGATAAATCTTTTTGTTATCGGAAAGTTATTACAAAGCCAATATCGGTTAGCCATTACACTGCGAAAAAGTAAAAACCAAGTTCTGTGATGAGTAATGGAATAAGGAAAGCGAGTTTGGGTCTACTCTGGAAAACCTGTTGAGACTGAATGAGATATGGATCATTGATATTATTTTGCATATTTGACCTTTGCTGTGTTCTTCAGCCATTTTATGCATTAACATGTCAACACTATGATGAACAAGAGGTGTCATTTCTTTAAGTTTTATTGAGGAAAATGTTGGATTAATAATAAATCACTATCGTTTCCAACTGACAGCTCCAAGCAGACTTACGTCTTTAGCTTTCGGATTTCGAAGAGGAAAACTACGACTTTAATTTTGACTTTAAAGTGGTAATTAGAATTTTTAAATCATCTTATGAGATTCAACAACATCCAGGGAGTAAACAGAATAATGATTGTAAACTAGAAAACAGCATTCTGGGGCCATAGTAATTATTTGCAGAATCACAAAATGTTTAAGATTTTTGAGCAGCTTAGAATGTTGTTTTCTGACTTACAATCACTGTTTTGTTTGTTCCGTGGATGTTCCTGAATCTCATCAGATAATTTAATAATCCTAATTGCTACTTAGAAAGAATTTTGCAATTTTTATCTTTTTAGATATTATTTAGATATTCAGTTTTAATTTCTCCTAGCACAAATTGAAATTTTAATTTGTGCTAGTTCGGTTTGAAATGAACTGGATTTTAATATCAACTTGAACATTATATACACATATATCTTTTCCATATCTATGATTCTTTTATCTTTTTCGTTCTCGATTCTATAGAATCGACGCATACGCACACATTTGCTAAGAATTGCCAAGAAGTGAAAAGCAAGGAAAGACATCTTATTTGATACATCCCTAATATACCAGACTATTTCTTCTTCATTGTGTTTCGCCATTTTCTGAGCTGAAAAAAATGCCAGAATATCTTTTATTCTGATAAACTTTTCTCTTTTCTGTGACGAAAAATGTGACGAATGTGAAGCAAATCCCAATAGAGATATATCTCAGACATATGTATATCTCGATTCCTATCCTACACAAGTCGACGAAGTTGAGATCATTTCTGTCAGATTCTGATTTTCAGATCAATCTTATCAGATTCTGATCTATTCAATCAATGACATTCAGATTAGAATGATCTGATCTTGAAAATTCTTCAAGGTTCATTGCACTGATTCTTGGTATGAAATCAAGATCAGTTCATTCTAGCCCAAATCAGGAGATTGTTGCAAAATCATCAATCAAATTAGGAAGAATAAGTAACGGAAATGTAGTTAAGAAAACACATAAAAGCTCTAATCCTCTATCTATCGAAGTTTCTGCTTTTTATTTACTTCACTTTACTTCACTTTAAAAATTCTAAAATGACTACGCAAAAAATATAAGCTCGATACGGTGAGGGAACGCCAAGGGGGAAAAAGCATACTTCTGTACTTCTCGGTACTTCTCCGTACTTCTTGATACTTCTTCGTACTTCTCCGTACTTTTTTGTACTTCTCCGTACTTCTGAAGTACGAAGTACGAAATACGAAATCCCGTATTTCGTACTTCGTACTTCAGAAGTACGAAGAAGTATCAAGAAGTACGGAGAAGTACGAAGAAGTATCAAGAAGTACGGAGAAGTACCGAGAAGTACAGAAGTATGCTTTTTCCCCCTTGGGGAACGCACAGAAAGATAAAGCAATTCTTTTTTTCTTAGATTCTGACTGAAAATCTGAAAAAATGACTTTCTCAGGAAGAAAGTCCTAAAATCAAGATTCTGTCAGAAATGATCTCAAGATTGTCGACTTGTGTAG